GGATGTATGCCATCTGGCCTGGTGATTTATCAGTTTTTAAGTTGTCTATCAGTTTTAGGACCTCCTCTCTCGTCACCTCAATCTGGCTCAGGTCTTTCAACACCCCTCCCAAAATCAGCAGTTCTGGAGTGGGCAAGCACTTCTCATCTTCCACAGTGAAGACAGAAGCAAAAAATGCATTTTGCTTCTCAGCCATTTCCCTATCATCCTTCAGTACTCCTTTTACCCCTTGGTCACCCAAGAGCCCCACTGCCTCCCTGGCTTTAAATAAAGTTTTATTGTTGGTCTTTACGTCTTTCGCTACATGCTCCTCATATTCCCTTTTTGCCTGCCTGACCACAGACTTGCATTTTATTTGCCATAGCCTGTGTTCCGTTTTATCAGCCTCACTGTGACTAGCTTTCCACCGCTTAAAGGAATCCTTTTTACCTTTTACAGCTTCCATTACTTTGTTTGTTAACCATGCAGGCTTTTTCCTATACCTATTTGTGCCTTTCCTAACCTGCAGAATATATTTTTTCTGAGCTTCTAGGATCGTAGTTTTAAATAGTTTCCAAGCTTCCCCAATGGCTTTGACCCTTTCTACTTTTCCTTTCAGTTTCCTCCCCACATGTCCCCTCATATCAGAGAAATTACCCCTTTTAAAGTTAAAAGTGGTTGTGTGAGTCTTTTTGGCCAATTCCCTATTTATACAAATGTTGAACTCAACAACATTATGATCACTGTTCCCAAGCGGTGCAATCACTTTTACATCTCTCACCAGGTCTTGAGTGTTACTTAGGACCGAATCAAGGATCGCCTCTCCCCTGGTAGGTTCCGTAAGAACGTAAGAACATAAGAGAAGCCAGTCATTATTATCCACTCAGCTCTCCAGGGTCTCAGGCAGAGGCCTTTCACGTCACCTCCTGCCTGGTGCTTCTAACCGGAGATGCCGGGGATTGAACCTGGGACTTTCCGCATGCCAGGCAGAGGCTCTCCCAATGAGCCATGGCCCACCCCCATGAGAAACGCAGTGCTCAGAACAGAGAGCCCGGGACATACCTGTAGCATCCTCTTTCATTTTGGCTGAGACACACACTTTGATGTCGAGTCCAATGGCTTTGGCCAGGGGCGGAGGCACTGCATTACCCACCTGCAAGAAGGAACAGACCCCGGGGCGGGAGGAGAAAGGAGAGGAGAGGATTAGCCCACCCTGTTTGCGAGCCTGGAAGAGATTAGGTCCACTACTGCAAGGCCTCTAGGCTACGGAGTCCTGTGAGCAAAAATTTGACTTTGGGAGCTACGGGAATTCTAGTCTTCAGACCCCACTGGGTGGTTGGCAACCTGACGGAAATGGTTCAATGCTCCCTCTAAGCTGTGGAATCTTGTGAGCAAAAATTCTACTTTGTGAGCTACTGGTATTAAAATTGCGAATGAGCGATTTGGCTACTGCATCAATTAGTTTGGTCTGGAGCCATCCTTCCTGAGCTAAGGTGAAAATGTCTGAGCCGGAGTCTAAAAAGCTGTGAGCCGGCTCACACTAACTCAGCTTAGAGAGAACACTGGTCACATTGATGGGGTCTGAACTGGCAGAGACTGAACAAGAGAGAGATCTTGGAGTTGTAGTAGATAACTCACTGAAAATGTCGAGACAGTGTGTGGCTGCAATAAAAAAGGTCAATGCTATGCTGGGGATTATTAGGAAGGGTATTGGAAACAGATCGGCCAATATCATAATGCCCCTATATAAATCAATGGTGCAACCTCCAGAGCAAACTGATTCATGCAGTAGCCGAATCGCTTGCTCGCAGCTTGAATGCCAGTAGCTCACAAGGTAGAATTTTTGCTCACAAGACTCCACAGCTAAGAGGGAGCATCGCTCATGACCATGTGTATTTATATTTAGGATTTTGGGCTCCAATGTGCATCATCTTGCACTTGGCCACATTGAACCCCATCTGCCATGTTGACGCCCACTCGCCCACCCTTGACAGATCCCTTTGGAGTGCCTCACAATCCTCCCTGGTTTTCACCACCCTGAACAACTTCGTATCATCCGCAAATTTAGCCCCTTCACTGCTTACTCCCAACTCCAAATCATTAATGAACAAGTTAAAAAGCATTGGACCAAGTACTGATCCCAGACTGCACAACACAAATCAACGCAATGAACAGGATGAGTCATCTAACAAGCAATGCACTTGGACTACAGGAGGAGGAGGAGGAGATTGGATTTAGGCCCCGCCCTTCACTCGGAGTCTCAGAGCGGCTTACAATCTCATTTCCCTTCCCCTCCCCACAACAGACACCCTGTGAGGTAGGTGGGGCTGAGAGAACTCTGACACAAACTGCTCTTTTTCAAGGACAGCTCTGACAGAACTGTAGCTTGCCCAAGGTCATCCAGCAGCTGTGAGTGGAGGAGTGGGGAATCAAACCTGGTTCTCCCAGCTTAGAGTCCACACACTTGACCACGACATCAAACTGGCTCAGAAGAAGAAGTGGAGGAGGAGATTGGATTTATACCCCGCCCTTCACTCGAAATCTCAGAGCAGCTTACAAACTCCTTTCCCTTCCCCTCCCCACAACAGACACCCTGTGAGGTAGGTGGGGCTGAGAGAGCTCTGACAGAAACTGCTCTTTTTCGAGAACAGCTCTGACAGAACTGTGGCTTGCCCAAGGTCATCCAGCAGCTGCGAGTGGAGGAGTGGGGGAATCAAACCCGGTTCTCCCAGATTAGAGTCCGCGCACTTAACCACGACGACACCAAACTGGCTCTCAGAACTCTGACACTACAGTGAGGCCAGCTTGGAAATCCAGAGAAAAGCTGCTCCGGGTGGCCTCCGTGGCTTTCCGGGGTCTGCGACAGAATTGCCCTCGTATGTAGTTCCCTTCCCTAATTTTGTCGTAGTTTTAATAATTTCTGGTTTGTAGAGAATGCAAATTAAAAAATACCCTACGGGTGGCAAAAAAGAAAAGAAAAGAAAAAAAGAATTGCCCTAGAACACGTAGCGTAGGAGGGTTAACCCTACCTGTCTGTGCTTGTCAAGTACGTTTCCAAACAGCCTGTAGGTATCCGGGAACCCCTGGGACCGAGCACACTCCCGCACGCTCACGACTCGATGCTGTTCGGGGTGAAGCACGCGGCCCTACAAAAGAGCAAGAGTTCCGTAGCACCTTAAAAACGGACAGAATTTATCGTGGGATATGAGCTCTCGCGAGTCACTTGCTCACGTCTTCAGACACGGCGAGAATGAGAGTCCATCTGTCCGTCCTTCTATCTTGGAAAGCGGAGTGGTTTCAGATGCCGCGTGACAATAGCACGTGTGTGTGTGTGTGTTGATTTTAATGGTTTTAAACTGTCATTTTATCGTATCT